GCTACAGACAGGTTTTTCATGTGTAATCATGTTAAGGAGGTGAAATCAAATATGCTAGATTAAACGACAAAACAAACAGATGTGTGTCTTCCTGTAATGTGAGTAAACAAGGGTGTGTCAGACTGATCCAATAAAGCAGGCAATATGGTGGCAATAAGCCGAGTTAAGTAAGTTTGATTCCATCTATTAACACTGTTTACCACCTCCTTTATTATCCAGAGATTAATTTCAGCCCTTAGCAAAAGCTCGGCTAAACAAAATAAGAATGCATTTGTTGCTAAATCAAATCCAAATTTAATATATTACTTTTTTGATTAAATGACTCCGAGGAGTATATTGTTATTTTTCACGGTCATGATTGTCTGCAAATCGAAGGAGTCACAAATGCATAGATCCCGCTATCAACATGTCATGGGATGTATCTTTTAAATGTCTGTGTGTGAATTGATGTCCAGCTAAGTCAAGGTGACAGGAAGTATGCTGAGGTTTTATAGCAATCTGCTCACTGGTAGCATAGTGGTCTAATTCCAAGGGCCCACAGAACTTCAGACATACGGAAAAAACAGCTGCTGCTGTACTAAAGATAAGCTAAACTCTCCATCATGTCATGTGACAGCTCAGAGAGGCACGCTGCACACATCGATCTCCATAGGCTTTTCTCTGCCTGTCAGACTCTAAATATATCTGCCTCTGCAAGAAAAAGTAGCCTGAGGGCATTGAAAACGCAGAAGGGGAGAGTGAGATTTAGATAAGGAAACAGTTAATAAGGAGGTAGAGCGAATATGAAAAGGGAGGAGAGACAAACTCCTGAGTGAGCACAAGTTGAAGAGAAGGGGAGCAAGAACAGAACAGGGTGAAGAAGGACGAAAACAGGAAGGATGTTCCAATAGAACACATGTTCTCCCACGAGACTTCTACCTTTAGGGAGTGCTGTGATCACGGCTGTGTTTGTGTATCTGCGTGTGTGTGTGCGTGCGTGGGGGCCACAGTAGGTGGCTTCTGTATGAACTATCACACAGTTTATTTATGACGGCTCCCTGCTGATGGTTAGAGATAGGGAAGAACCTGCTTGCAACTCGGTGCTTCTCTGTTTCAGCACCATCTTTTCATCCTCTCAGGTAAAATGCGGCTGTTTACACATAGTTTGGATCAATAGCTCTGAGAAAGATTCCGGCAATTCTTCAAGAAGTGGTTAAGCACAACATTGTCATTGCAAATATTTATCTAACCAAAACATTTAAAATAGTTTAAAAAGGGTTCACATTTGTACTAAGGAAGCAGCAGAACACAAGTTCTTTCTTTCTATGAAACAATGATGAAAGTTAAATAATTGGAAATTCAAAATTAAAACCAGTGGATATCAGATAGCAGTAAAATCTGAATATTTGATAGAACTAGCTTTGAAGCATATTACATCGGTTACATTGGTGGCTAACACTTGGATGCTACCCACCAATGGGAAAATAGACAATGTCTTAACATGTGGCCTTTATTTCACTTCAGTTCGGTTCTTTATTGTAATTGTCTTAAATACATAATATTTCATTCAAGGCACTCATACACTGCAAAGATGTAATATTTTAAATCAGTTTTTCTTGTCTAGTTGAAAACACATGTGACAGTTCAGACTGTTCTATCCTTATAACTTAATTTGTATGAGACTAAACAGCTGGAAACATGTAGAATATACATGGCTAAACAGAAAACGGTGGACCAAGTATGATTTCAGTGTTTTCAGTAGCGTTAGCAACACTGAAGGGCTTACTTGTACCACAATGGCCAGCAACGGCCATTATAGTAATAGTCCTAACAGATGTACATTTCTTGTATTTAGTTCAGATCTAGGCCAGCCTGAATTAATACCAGAAGAATTAATTCATAAGCTGCCCGAGACTACCTTAAAAAGTGGGTCTTAGTCTGACTCGTGCCAGGATTCACTTCAGTCTATGGACACCTGCATAAAAGCTCCAGACCAACAATTTGAGAGCATTTCTCAAGAAAGACCTCACTTTTGACATTTTTATTTTATAGTGTTGCACAATAAACACACATACACCTGACATTTTAAAACTTCTCAGTAAAGACGTACATATCTCAATATCTGTTGGCTGTAGTAGAGAGGCGCTTCTCATCCTATTTGTGTTCTCTTTTGTATCTCCGAAGAACTGCACATTGTGTGATCAATCTGAAATTCTCTGCTTATTGCAATTTAAAATGTGGGAAGAAGAGAACTGAATAAAAAGTGTTTTATGTAATTTCAGCATGACTTTCAGAACTGTTGTGTTAGTTGCCTAGAAACTGTAATACTCCAAGATAGCTCACATGTGCAGACTCTAGAAGATAGGTTGGATACAATGACCAGTATATATTTCACTTTTCATTTCTGTTTGTCTTCTGCCTCCCTTCTTATAGTGTTTTATATATTTAGCTGCTGTTATGAGAAAACAGTGGTGAAAAAGAAAAAATCTATAAGTTTGTTCCATCTTTGTCTCAGTGGTTTAGAGATCATAGAGGCACTGTTGTGCCATGGAGCTCACACCTTGACAACTAGAATGAAAGGCAGCTATAGGCTGAGGTCAGATAGGCTGAGGGAATGTTTCACAAAGCCATCAGTCTTGTGTAGAAAGCATTACTGGCAGAAATGTGACATCCACTGCCCTTTTTCTCTGCTGGGCTCTCTCCTCCTGAACCAGTGACATAACAGCAAGCTGTGAAAATATCAGTGGAAATCTCTAAAGTATATTTGTTTTCTGTATGCGAAAGAAAACCAATACACCTTTCTTTTCCAGATAAATCTGATTGTCTTTGCTGTGATTCTCAATCTTCTGCCCCCCATTATGTATCACCAGAGATGCCATTGACCAACATTCATGCAAATTACATTTAATATTCACTACAAATTGGAAGAAAAAAAAGTCTTCATCTCATTCTCAATCTCATTCAAGAAGTGAAAGAGTACTAACAAAATATAATCATCCCCATCTGGCACTAGAGATTGGCTATTAGGACTTAATCGTACTCACATATAAACAGAGACATATCTACATATCAGGGAGTCAAAGTCGTCAGCCTCTGCTTCTAGCTGTCAACCGCTTGAATCTCTTGTATTTAGTATTAGTTTTTACTTACTTTCCTCATAACAAACTTCATATATTAAATTATTTGTTTACCAGGAGAACCGTTTATAAATTAATAATCAAAAGAAAGGAAGAAAGCAAGAAGTAATCGAAATAATCTGAAACATGTCACCTGCCATGAGATTCTTATTGTTCTTTCAGCTTTTTCTGTTCTTCAGCTGCTGTCTTTTAGAGCTGTACATGTTTTCAGGCTCACTGGAGGATTTCCAATAGATCCATCAATTTGGCAAAGCAGAGCGTGTGAAGCATAAGAGTCATTCTCCAGGGATGTACTTGCAAATGCAGAGGCACACATATGCACACCAGTGGACAATCTATGACTTTTATTTGGTTTACCCTCTCTGGTTTAACTGGCAGGGTGTCTCAGAAGTGATTCTTTTTGGGGGGTTTTAACATGGCCTTGTTGGCTCATATAATTTTTTTCATTAACTTGTTTATAAAATACTCTCACATTATTCTCTGTCTATATTCTTCATACTGATTACAGAGTTTTCTTTTCCACTATAATACCGGGCTGTTTAGATTTACGTGTAAACTATGGTGTCTATTTGTATCCAGACCCATTTATTCGAATACCCTTTATAAAATCTTATGTCACCAATTTCATTCAAAAGCTGTGTTGTCAGGGTTAGGGTTAGGGTTCATAAGTATCTGCAACTCAGTCTTGGTTAACGCTGTTTGGTGAAAACGTCAGATTTCTTTGGACAACACTAGAAAATGAGCAGCATCATGATGATCAAGAATCACATAAGATGGAGTTAAGAAAGCAAGAAGTAATCGAAATAAAGAATGGGTGTGAATGGTAATGGCTTCCATTTGTACTTTGCAGTACAATCTGTCATTCATCCATACAAGCACACATTCACACACTAATGGGGATAACCTACAATGTAGACACGGCTGCTCTGGGGCATACTGACATATGGAGGGCTGCCGTGGGATTTGCGCTGCTGGGCCCTCTCACCAGCAGCAGCAGCCAGGGGTGGTGAACAACTCATGGAGGAGTGGGGGATCAAACTGACAACCCACCTGTTACAAAATAAACTCCTACTTCATGAATTTCTGCCATCACACTCAATGTCCTGACCTTATTCCTGCAACAAATCGGTGGCAAGACTTGAAAAATCTTGTTTACAAATTCAATTATGTATATATACTGTATATACTTGAGACATTTCATAAGAAAGAATGGGTAAAATGTTTCTCTCTTTGAGTGGAATGGCGGTAGAGAAATGTATGTACATCTTAAGACTTCCAGCTGTGATTGGAGTGAGAGTTGGTATATTGCATATTGTCTCATGGGGTTGCACGCAAATACACTTGTTTATTGTTTTATTTCAAAGAAAACATTACAACTATTGTTATCTACTTTCTGTTGTTCTTTGCATATAATCCCCCTGAAAAATACTTTGAAAAAGAGGAATATATCCATCTTTTATCTGTAGCCTGTGATTTGAATAAGAAAAGAAACGCAGCCCTTTCTAATAAGCATGAAGGATTCTATTTGCATGTATCCTTATAGACTTTGAAACTTATCTGAAGGCAACATGGTTCCTTCCCCAATCCACATGATGCGACACCACTAATTAAAAGGTGTCACACTATAAAGTTTCAATTTGCAGATGAGCTAATTCAGGATGTTCTCTTTAAGGGTTGAGTAATCCAATGATTTTCACACTTTTAACTAGCGTTCAAGATCAACATAGAGTTGCTTCTAAATATGTGTAACAGATACCCACACTCTGCTCTCCCTACACTTATCTAATCTGTTGCTCTGTCTTCTGTCTTTTTCTTTTCCTTTTTTCTGACTTATGCCTCTCTTGCTGTTCATCCAACCCCTCGTCTCCTACTTGGGGAATGCAGTGATGGCTTCAAAAGGCAAAGTTCGAGGTGAGTCGTGACTGCTGCTCAAATCCTCTGCTGTTGATTTTTCTTCTTAAGAAAAATAAACTTATATCTTCTAAAGCAACTCTGGCAGAGTTTGGGGGTTTTAATTGTCATTTTGGGACTCACAAAATGATCATTAGTTTTAAGTTCACATTTGTTTTGCCTGGCAGAGGTTGAGTGTAAATTGTTTTTGGTTTTTTTTAACTGAATCTATGTTGAATCAGAATCTGTTTAATTAAAACACTGGTAATCATTTCTCAGAAATCCAACTCCAAGTTTCCCATTAAGCCATTGTTGATTTTCAGATATGTCTTTATAATCTCATGTAACTTCACCCTGAGACTACATGGAAAGACACAAATATCCACAATGTGAATCCTCTTAATCAGTGCTAATAGTGATTGAACTGTCATTGAACTGTTACAACTATATCACCCTTATATCAAATAGATACACTGTGATCTTTTTCCAGCAATGTTACCAGCATGTAGAATTGGCTTTTATTTTAATAAGTATTGTCAGATTTTTTGGTGCAAATATAGCTAAAAATATTTTTGAAGTAAGGTATTCAAACCTAGGAATATGCACTGCTGTAAAAAGATTGATGTTCTTTCAAACTGAAGATAGTGGCTTAACATAAATGTACCTCAGAGAGCAACACAAAAAAAAAAAAAACAAGATACCCAGCATCATATCATTCCCACAGAGTCCTGATCTCAAGATTGTAGAGCCAGACTGTGGTTATATTGTATTCATACATAGAGTGGACTGTCACCAAAGAGCAAAGAATTAAAAAATAAGTTTTGTCATTTTTTATGTAATCCAGTGAGAATAAATGTTGTAGAGTTTGAACCTCAATCAGGTTATATAATTTATTCTACTTTCTTTGATTAGGGACAAAATCCTTACCAGTTTTAATAATCGGCAATCCTTGGTATTATAGATTTAAAACAAAATTGCGCTTTGAGCCATTTTTAGTTTCTACACAAATAAAAAGTCCCCGTTTTTTGACGGCAGCGTCTTACATGCATTGAGAAGGTGGGCACTGTAAAGCAGTGTGAGTGGAGATGAGATGACTCCACATGGTTGTTCAGCAAAGATTGCCAAATGAAATATATTGCTATAGTTTGGCATTTATAACTTCACAAAATTGTTTGTTCACAGAATATTTAAGAAAACAGCACAATTAGCCCAGCAGACAGTGCTAAGAAAGTTAACCTATATGCACATGTTTGTTTTTTTTAATAGTACCAGCCTGTGCACCTTTCTTTTGTTGCAGTGGTGAGTTTCCTTAAACATCAGGCTTTACATCTGAAGCAGATGCCAAAATACTCTTCCTGAAGTGTGTTTACATTTTTATTTTTCATAAATTCAGGATTTTATGAAAAATAAAAATAAAAGTTTTGTCGTTTATGTTATAAGCGATTTATTTTTCCAATTGGTTCTGTATTTCAGGTTGCAATAACAACAATTTCAATTCAAAGTTTTCCTCTCAAAAATTTAGAAGTTGTGGTAAAATTTAGATTATTCATTATTCCCAAATGTAGACGCCTCCTTCCATTACAATTTTTCTTTATCCTACTTTTGTCCTCAAAACATGAACATCATTTAAATCATTTTCCTCTCACCACGTCACTACACCGTTTTCTCACTTTCCTGCTGTGTCTGAATGTTTAATTCATTCAAGCGCTCTCTCAAGCCATCAACATCCAGCTGAATGAGTTGACTGTAATATCTCATTCACTGTTGTGTCCCTTAACTCTTTTAAGGCAACCCTTACCAGATGAGATGACTCCACAGAGATTCTTCTAATCTTTTAATAGAATATCAGAGATTCAAAACAAAGGCCAAATCTGTTGTATCTATTTCTAGTATACAATGATTAAGTGCTCAACAACAGTTAGAACCAGATAACTTTCTGTTTCTAACTACCCCATGTTAGATTTCTTATGATCTTAGGCAGGAAGGGGGAAAAAACTGGCCTGTTAAACAGCTCCAGTAAAGTTGGCAAGGTAAATTAAGGCAAGAGGGGTGGAACAGGCAGAGGAAGAAGGGAGTGCATGATCATAAATGCACACAGGGGCTGATGAATCATGTTTGAAAACAATGGAGAAAATCAGAGGACTAGACAGAGCAGTAAAACCTGGTATGATATGCAGGGTGTGTGACTACCAAAATAAAACTGGGTAGGGTACAATATATGAAATGCAAAGCAGCTTCATTAATTTCATCCACCATTACAAAAGACAGCAAGGCAGCAATATCCTTGTGTATCACAAATAAACCCATATTCAACAGGTTGCTTCAAAATAAATGCTGTCCAGGCTAGTATTTATAATCCTGTTGGGGACTGCTTGTACTCTGTTTTACATATTTTAACATATTTGGATCAACTCCCTTGATATATGTTCCAGCCTGCTAATTCTGTGCATATTTGATTCAATTATTGTGAGGCAGGAAATGTCTAAACCATGCATTACTATTGGTACTATGGAGCAAGTTTGAGCAAAATCGATTCATATTAATGAGCCAATGAGTTCTGAACCTGCAATGATGGAGGAATTGAATTAAATTAGTATAGAGGGAAGTACTTTGAGTGAGCTGGTTTACTCTAAACATGCATTCTTCTTCTGTGAATACATTGAATGAGAGTGTTTGTGGTGCTTTTTCACTATTAGGATGACTTCATTGTTAGATAAACACAAAAAAACTGAATACATTGAAATAACCTTGACTGTATTATTCTACATGGAGTAACAAGTCTTGTGATTGTGAAACAGTACCTCATTTTTTAAAAATAAAACAAATTCACATTCTACTTTTTTTTAAAAAAAATCATATACCAAAATCATATACCGTTTCCTCTTATAAGATGGATTATTGTTATATCCCCACGTCTTACTATTTGTCAGGTTATGGATCTATTAGATACGAAATGTGCAGGGTGAGAACACATAGTCCCAACAAAGAGCCAGAAGAATGTACAAAGTGTCTGATTGATATCTATTTTGATAGTAAATATGTTGTTTTTGTTCACCAATTATTCACATCAACCAAGAAAGTGTAAATAATATATACCTTACATACAAAATTAACTGAACTGATGTTCAGAGTGGAGAGATGCATTTACCAGGATAAATGTTCCTATATCCTAGAATTTTTCTTATGTTGGTATGTTCTAGATATTTACTAGCTGCAACCTTTGATCTGTGGTGGAATAGACACCAGTCACTCACTGTGCACCTTTGTGAGAAATAGAAAATTGCAGCAATCATAAAATCACTGTCTTCTTCCTCTGCTTTTTGTCTGGCTAAGGTTAAGCCACACATGCAGTTTAGCTCATTTAGGAGAACAAGACTTTTTATAAAACAACCTGAAATGTGCAGAGATGGCTTTATTTGAGTTGTGGAATCTATATTATATGTGAAACAGTTTTTAATGGGTTTTTTAGTCCTGCATTGTATTTCTATTTGGAGGTAGATTAGATGTTTGCTGTGCTAGATTCACTAAAACACTGCTGAGAAAGTGCTGGAAGGTTTCTGGGAAGAAAGTAGTCTGATGCGCCTTTTATGAGATATTCTGTGAAAGAGCAAGACGTTTGATACATTGTATTGGTTCTTGCATATAGCAAATATCTCAGTCTTCATATCATAGATACAATGTAAAAATAGAGATTCATCCATCAAGAGAGTGTCCATCTTTGTGCTATCTAAATAAAAACAGATCAAAATACTGTAGATGGATTAGCTGAAGACTGTATCAGAAATGTTCTTGGAAGCTCATGCATTTTGACTTCTGTTTGGACCAAGATTATCTTCTTTTTGACCTGTCGTGATAGACTCTGCAGCATTTTCTTTTTCCTTTTCACCCTCTCACTCTTTTAAAATTTAATTTAATGCTTTATTAATCTGAGCATTAAAATCTGTAACATGCTCTTTGTTCTTTGCTGGATTTATATCCCCTCTTACAGTTTGTACCCTGGACTAGTGTGACAGAAGTTGGCAATGATGGCCTCAAAAGTGTATGAGACATCTGAATATAATTTTTAAGAAGAATAAGAAATATAAAAACTGGAATTAAAAAAAAATAAAGATTCTTCTGGTGTCATTAGTATTTTTTTATTCAGCAAATTGTGTGTAGTTATATTTCATTTAGAGAAATACAATTATTTCTCTAAATTAATTTATTAATTTGGGTAAATATTCTTATTTTTGGCATAAGAATAAAATATAGTACTTATTTAAATTCTAGAGTTTTTGTAGTTTGTCCATATCTTGGTTTTGAGGTGGAGTTTTTTTATTTTTATTTTTTTTACCTTTTCATTTACATATTTATGCACCTGTTGTTGTTGCCTTTATTTATTTATCTTTAGAGTACAAAAAACGTCTCTTTCTTTTGTCCCTCTATTGTCTTGGCATACTCCGTGCTGTCCTTTTTTTCTCCAAGCACTGGAGAAAGTTTTTGTTGCTACTACCTTTTGTGATAACAGACATCGTGCATATTTTGTTCCATACTCTTATATTGAAATCTGATCCATATTGCTAAGTGTCTTCAGGTGGAAGACACTTAGCTTAAACTACACTAGCTCCTTGCTATAAACTACACTAGCTCCATTAGCCTACTTTCTCAGATAACTTATAAATACCAGATGGAAATTTGGCATTTCCTGCCATTCTTTCAATGACGACAGGAAGGATTTTCTGGGCTAATGTGTCTTACAGTTGATCTGAGGACACTCTGTTGTCTTAATGTCATAATAACGTATGTTAACCATTATGTTCCTTATTTTATTAAACATTGTTCTTTGCCCTAATCAGGCTTAGAGGCTCCTGGACAGTGTCCAGTCTATTTTATTAGCATGTTCATCTTTCTTAAGTCTCCATCATCTCTACGTTTTCTTCTATAATGGTTACAATGTTAGGCATATTTCTGTTTTTAATAAAATCTACAACCATTCCATTTGCTTTGTCTACAAAGTGAGATGCCTCACCATGTGGCAAAGA